CTGGGGGAAGGCAGTGTCTTACCCCGCCATGGCCCACCAGACTGGGGGGTAGGTGGGCTCACTGCTGCTTCTGAACAGCACCAGGCAGTGGAGGAGGGTTGAGAGGGGACATTGGACCCAGTGCCGGTCGCTGCTGAATCTGTGATTGGAGCGACTTCCCCCTGCACAGAATCTCTACATTAATTTATTTCATGAAAGCATAATATTTATTGTTTGGGGGACTCTTTCTTTCTACTTTTAAATTAATTTCCATATTAAAAAAAAAATAAACTGCTGGCCTCTATCATGCAGTGGTTGCTTGTCGGGTTATCTGTGTGGGGAGAAGCAGCCGGTTGACCAAAGCTTAGCGTAGAAGCAGGACCAGCTGTGGAGGCTGCCTGTAGCTGTCCCGTGTCGCCTTGGCTGGGTGGGGCCCATCGGGGGGTTTTGCCCAAGGTGTTCTGCAGCAGCCAGAGGGGAGGACGGACTCCTCTTGTCGTGTTGGGGCAGGTGGAATAGCACGTGTGGAAGCCCCCTGTGTTCTTTCCCAGTGAGGACGAGGGTGGTGAGGCAGGCAGGGTTGGGAAGGCTGAGCTCCTGCCGGGGAAGCGCCTTTCCCCACGCAGGGAGCATCACTTGGCCCAGCCCTGCCCTGCCACACGTGCGTGCAGAGGCTAGCATTAGCCCCGACAGCGGACATGCTGGCTGCTCGCCTCGGTGCCAGGGCTCCAAGGGAGAAGCTGGGCTATCCAAGCGCAGCTGGACTTGGTGTGTGTGACTGTGTGTGTGCGTGAGCACGTTAGGATAGAGACCTGAAATCTGGGAACCTCCGTGTCACATCTGGATGTCACCAGGCAGATGATGTGCTTGCCTGTGTGGGTTGTCCCTGGAGTGTGGCCGGGACCTTGGAGCAGTGGTAGCTGGTAGACGGGACCTCTTGGGCCATGGAAGCTGCAGTCGCTGGTGTTTCCTGGGACCAACTAGGTGTAGGAAAGGGCAGGATGTCCTGACATCCTCCATCAAAGGGGCACTGGAAGATGGGGACCTCCCTTCCTAAGAGAGAGAGAGAGGGGGGTGTGTATGCACGTGTGTGTTACAAAAACATAATAAAAAATGTTACGGGGCTTTCCTAGTGTCTTTCTCTGTTTAATGGACATTGTCTGTCAAACATAACCACACCATTCATAGAAGCCTTAGATCAACAGTTTAGCTATGCAAATTATTTTAATTATTTTTTTAAAAAAACAAACATTAAAATAGTGCTTTCTTCTTTAACATATCCTAGGAGTTGAAAACCGAGGGGTTCTGAGCAAACTGCTGGACAACTTGTCTTTGGATGCACCATGGAAATAAAAATCAAACCCCCCACAAAAGTAACAAAGCAAATTAACTGATGGTGTTCATGCAAGTTTCTCCAAAGACTTGACAGTGCTGCATCTGTGAGTCATGCCCTCCTGTGCTCTGTGTGTCCACCTCATGCACAACCCTGTGACACTGATTGTATGACGAGCTTGCCCAGATGTCCGTTGCATCCCTGTGAGGCTGTCAGTTTTCCCGGTGGATTTGGGGAACGGCCCTAGGCAAGGGCTTTCCTTGTCCAGAGTAGCAAGTGTTGAGACTGGCGGGTGTGGGGGGGAGGCTGGAGCATGAGCAGACCCTCACCAGAGCCCTGCCGCAGCCCTGCTCCTTGCTGGTGGTGGTCAGGGTAGCGGGATTCATCTGAGGGACCCTCCCGGGCTTTTCTGTAGCTGTGTGCTGGGATGAGGCATGAAGATTCGGCTGGGGGCAGTCGGCACCGTGGCTCTGGATGCGATGCCTTTGCCTGCACGCCATTTTCCCTGCTCCTTGCCTTGCCAGGAGAGCACCCGGGGCTTCCTGAGCCGGCCCTGGTGCGTCCCTATGCTGCCGTTTGCTGTCCTCCCAGGGGTGTCCTGCCCAGTGGCCATAGGAGCCGGATCTGGGCAGCTGGTGCTCGGCTGCTGCAGGGTGCACGCTTTGTGCCACAGGCTAGCTGGCACCAGGGCGAGGTGCGAGGGCTCTCCTGGCTGCTGTGTGGCCACGGTGGCTTGGAGACCCCTCGCTGCCCTCCCGTGGTGCGGCTGCCATGCGACCCACTGTGAGGGGGTTCCTCTCCCTGTCAAACATCCAAGGGTCCGGGCAGCCGCAGCACGCGAAAGCGCCCGAGCGGAGCCCCAGCTGCCCTCCCTGAGCGGGGCGGTGCAGCACCTCTCCTCCCCATGTGCCAGCCCTGAGCACCCCCTTAATGAGGGGCTGGGTCCCCTGCGCCCCGTCAGAGCCGCAGCTGAGAGCTGGGGCGCCCCAACGATGGGGGCTGGCAGCGGCTGGGGGCGGTTCGGG